ACTGTGTCAGAATATGCCTGAAAGTTCCTAGAATTGAGCCAGTATTCCCCTGAGAGCATGATGGATGAAGAGAGAAAGCCAAAAGAGTTCAAGTAAGGCATCCGTCTTAAGATTAGATAGCAGTTGTATGTGTTCGAGCTCAGTACTTACTCAGCCATTCTGGCCAAGGTACAGTTAGTGGAGAGGAAACTTCGTATTTTTTCTCCAATAGTAGGAAATCTCAGGCCCTCGATTTTACACCGCAAACCAACACCTACTGCACTTGTTCAACAGAACAAGAGATCTAGGCTAGTGACTCAGGCTCCTTCTCAGATTCTGACAACAGGACGCAGTAGGACTTGCTAACACTGTGGCAAGGATCATGGGGACCGACCATACTATCGCCTCAACAATACTTGTCATATATGTGGGAGTGCCCAACATTACGCAAGAAAGTGCCCGAAGAATCAGAATTATGCCAGACCTCCTATCTAGGGTAGGGCTTGCAACCTCACTCAGCAAGATACAGAAGTCAACTCATACGTGATACAGAGTACGTACACTATCTATAATCATCTTGCACATATTTTGATTGATGCTGGTGCCTCATATTCATTTGTTTCACATGTTTTTATATCAAACTTGAATGTATTATCTAAAAGACTTGATTCTGTATTGTTTGTGTCTACTCTTGGGAGTAGAACACTACTGAGAGAGGTTACATACAAAGCTTGTATCATAGATACAACAGATAGAAAATTAAGTGTGGATCTAATAGAGATTGACTCGGGGATTTTGATGTAATCCAAGGAATAAATTGGTTAGCAACGTATCACACCACCGTAGATTACTTTCACAAAAAACTTGTATTCAACCCTTCTAATGAAGAATCATTTACAAATTAATAAAATTCTTTAAACATTATTCCCTCATGGTAATTTTCCTATTACTAAGTGCTTTAACTAGACTATTTTCTCTAATTAAGCAAATTTAAGAAAGAAATTTGTATTCAAGAAATTCCAGTAGTCTGAGACTTCTCGAATGTGTTCCCATATGAACTACCCAGACTGCTAGTAGACAGAGAAGTTGAATTCACTATAGATCTTCAGCTAGACACCTAGCCTATTTCGATTTTCTCTTACCGCATGAGTCGTATGGAGATGGAGAAGCTGAAGAAACAGATCAATGAATTGCAGGATAGTGGATTCATTCAGCATAGTGTGTCCCATTTGGGTGCTGGAGTCATATTTGCAAGGAAGGAATATGAGACATTAAAGTTATGTATTGACTACAAAGGACTGAACATGATCACG